ATTGTGAACAATGCTGCGATAAACATACGTATGCAGGTATCTTTTTTATAGAGTGATTTGAGTTCTTCAGGGTATATTCCCAGTAGGGGGATTGCAGGGTCATATGGGAGTATAGTCAATATTTAGAGCTTTTAGGAATTGCCATACTGTTTTCCACAGAGTTTGCACTACTTTGCACTCCCATCAACAGTGTAGAAGTGTTCCCTTTTTGCCACACCCTCTCCAGAAACTGTTATTTTTTGAGTTATTGATAATTACCATTCTGACTGGAGTTAGGTGGTATCTCAGTGTGGTTTTGATTTGCATCTCCCTGATGATTAGTGAGGTTGAACTTTCTTCATGTGTCTGTTGGCTGCTCGGATGTCTTCCTTTGAGAAGTGTCTGTTCATATTTTTTGCCCATTTTATAATGGGGTTGTTTGTTTTTTTCTTTTCAGCACGTTTGACTTCCTTGTAGATCCAAGATGTTAAGCCTTTGTCAGACCTGGAGTTGGCAAATACTTTTTCCCAGTTTGTAGGCTGTCTCCCTGCTCTCTTGATGGTTTCCATAATGAATAATTCACATGGAACACCTTAGTCCTTGATATTGTTAATATATTAAAAAGGTATGCAATACAGAGTTTGACAAATTAGAGTTTAAGCTAGACAGAAGGCAAATGTGAATCCACAGCATGGAATAGAGGCTTACTAAATACAAGAAGACTGAGTTGATAGACCAGAGGGTACCAAGAGAATTGATGGATAGAAAAAAGATCCCACTTGATCCAATAGGCCAGGGGTTCTTAGTCTCAGCATGAATCCAAATCACTAAAGAGCTTGTTGACCTACAGACTGCTGAGGCCGATCTTCAGAGTTTCTGATTCAGTAGGTCTGAGGTGAGGATAAAGAATTCCCATTTCTAAGAAGTTTCCAGGTGATGTTGATGCTGCTGGTCCAAGGACCACATTTTGAGAACCACTGCACAAGGCAATCATTGCTGTTGTTTTCTGCTGGGGAGTGACATGAGAATAGTGCTTCCAGATCACTCAGAATGCATCAGAGGAGAATGAGGCTGAAGGGAACCAGACTGGAAGCAATGGTGAGGCTCTTGCTGAGATAACTGGGTGGTGGTATTGAGGAGCAAGGAGCTTTATAGCTAAGGAAAATTAAACTGAAAATATTGAAAGGGCTTGCTGACTTCACCAGTTCTCTTCCAAATATTAAAGTTTAAACAGTCACTCCAGCTACAGAGGGCGAAAATAAAGCTATTGTCATTCCTAATGAAATGCCACACAGCCAGGTTTGCAGGGCATTTGTGAGAAAGATGAAGTACCATTCAATATAGTTCCTACACGTCAGGCGCTCTGAGTGCTATTTACTGCTATAATTAACTCCACCGGTTCTGTTTACCTGACAGAATTGTCCCCGGGCTTCCAGATGGCCCTGGCTTCCTCTAGGATTATCAGCTGGAGGTCCTGATAGCCATTCAAACTCTTCAGATTTGTGCCTGATCTGATTTAGGCCGTTTCAGAACACAGTGCAGTTTTCCCTGTTGGCATGCGTTGATTCTGTTTCCAAGTTGAAAATGATTCAAGTAGTCCAAAGAGTACATGATTGTATTTATTCATGGGCTGTTTTTGAAATGCATTTATTTCCTTCCAGAGGCAGTGGTGTTAATAAAGTGCCTTCCAAAACACACAGCCCGTGGGGGTGACTATTTCCAGTTTGTGGCATCTATTAGCAGATGTCGTAAGCAATGGTGGTGGGGCAGTAAACAGAGGCCTTTTTAAAAAATTTTTAAATTAAAAAAATTGTTTTTAATTTTAGTTTTTTTTAATTTTAAAGATGTAGGGTACAATTCAGGGTTAGGTATACAAATGTTCATTATGCAGGTACCCTAGTTGATGAGGTGTAGGATGGGAAAAAAAGATTTGCAAGCTATGCATCCCATAAAGGCCTAAACATCCAGGATCTATAAGAAACTCAAAAGAACTGACAGGAAAAAAATAAAAACAAAAACACTAACTGGGCATGGTGGCGCATGCTTGTGGTTCCAACTACTTGGAAGGCTGAGGTGGATCACCTGAGCCCAGCAGGTGGAGGCTGCGGTGGCTGTGAGCATGCCACTGCACTCCAGCCTGGCGGACAGAGTGAGACTCCAACTCAAAAAAAAAAAAAAAAAACCACCAAATAACCCCATTAGAAAGTGGGCAAAAGACATGAATAGACACTTCTCAAAGGAGGACATTGAAGCAGCCAACAAACAGATGAACAAATGCTCAGCATCACGAATCATACAAGAAATACAAATCAAAACTACAGTGAGATAGCATGGCACACCAGTCAGGATGACTATCATCAAAAAGTCAAGAAACAACAGGTGTTGGCGAGGCTGCAGAGAAAAGGAAATTCTTCTACATCGTTGGTGGGAATGTAAGCTAGTTAAGCCCTTGTGGAAAGCAGTGTGGCGTTTTCTCAAAGAACTAAAAATTGAGCTTGCATAGGATCCAGCAATCCACTCCTGGGAATACACCCAGAGGGACACAATTGCTCTATCAAAAAGACACCTGTATAGGCAGGTTGGTTGCAGCACTATTCACAATAGCAAAAACATGGAACCCACCTAGATCCCCATCAAAAGTGAACTGGATAAAGTAGCCAGGCACGGTGGCTCAAGCCTACCTGTAATCCCAGCACTTTGGGAGGCCGAGGCGAGAGGTTTGCCTGAGCCCAGGGGTTCGTGACCAGCCTGGGAAACGTGATGAGACCTTGTGTCTCTACAATAAATAAAAAAATTGGCCGGGCACAGTGGCTCATGCCTATAATCCCAGCACTTTGGGAGACCGAGGTGAGAGAATTGCCTGAGCTCACGGGTTCCACACCAGCCTGGGGAACTGGGTGAAACCTCATCTCTACAATAAATCAAAAAATAAGCCAGGCATGATGGCATGCACCTGTAGTTCCAGCTACTTGGAAAGCTGAGGTAGAAGGATCGCCTGAGCCTAGCAGGTTGAGGCTGTGGTAGTTATGAATGTGCCACTGCACTCTAGCCTGGGTGACAGAGTGAGATTCTGACGAAAGAAGGAAGGAAGGAAGGAAGGAAGGAAGGAAGGAAGGAAGGAAGGAAGGAAGGAAGGAAGGGAGACTAGATTAAAAAATATATATTGTACATACACATGGTGGAATACTACTCTGCCATAAAGAATAAAATCATGTCTTTTGCAGCAACATGGGTGCAGCTGGAGACCATCATTCTAAATGAACTATCACAGAAACAAAAAAACTAGAAACCATATATTCTCACTCATAAGAGTGCCCTAGTATTGGGCACACAGGCAAAAAGCAGGAACAACAAATATTGGGCACTGCTAAAGAAGGAAGGGAGGGGATGTGAGGGTGATCTGGCTGTGACATCTGTCACCCCATTGATTGCCAGGGTTGATTCGGCTAATCTTGCTGGCTAGGCAGGTGTCCTCTTCCTCCCTCACTGCTCCAGTTGCAACCCTTCCGATGCTAAAGCTGTGTGTGCGCTTGGTCAAAGAGGACGACCATCCCCATTAGAGGAGGATCATTCTTCAGTCAAGGGTATAAAAGTAGCAGCTCTCCCCTGCTAGAACCACCAAACAAGCTGTCAAGGAAGGAGGGAGGGGGTATAAGGGGCACATGACCACCCACCGGATGCCCTGTCCATTACCAGGGGGAGAGAGAGCTTGCTAGAAACCCAAACCTCACCTTCATGTAATTTACTTAAATCTTCACATGTACCTCACAATTCGGAAATAAATTTAAACAAAAACAAAAACAGATCTAGTGTGACTAGCATAATGTCTAAGTGATGATTTGAGATTCCAGTTTACTTTTGCTTTGAGACTATGGCTGCCTTCCAGCAATTTCTAATACCAAAACCATCCCTGTAGGACCAGCAGCTTCAAAGTGCTGTCCAAGATACTCATGGTTGATTCACAGGGAAGGGAGGGAGCAAAGTATCTCCAGGGTTACAAGGATGGAATTTTGCCCCCAAGTAGCTTCCAGTCTAGCCAGGGGAGGTGGGGGGACTTGGAAGTGGGGGTTGGGCATTTGTAAACAACCAAACAAGCAGTCTCGTGTAAAATGTCAGGGTCAAAATAAAGCATCCCAAAGGGAAAAAAAATCACACATTTAAAATCTTTTAAAACATCAATGAGCATAATTGAGTTATGCTTTCAGGATTATTACTAGTTGTTTCCATAATAGAAATGAATGGAGACTCCAGGATCTGAAAAGTGAATACAAACAGAGGGTATAATTTTATGCCTCCCCTTTCCCTTACTTAGTTATTAAAATTATTTCTTGAGTAAATGTCTTAACTGGTTTCCTTCAGTCTCGCCTCTGCTGGGTCTTCTTGTCACAGAGCTTGGTGCTAGACATCTATATACAGTATTCAGCATGTACCACGAGCAAAGTATCTCCTAGATAGATACAGCAACCACAATGTTTTGTTTTCTTTTGGCTTCCCCTTTTAAATACAACCTCTATTTAAAGACACTAACAGGTATATTTTTCAAGCTGAACTACAGTAAACTGGTTTTTTTTTGTTTTTGTTTTTTGAGTTGGGTTTCCTCTGTCACTCAGGCTGGAATGCAGTGTCACAATCACAGCCACCGCAGCCTCAACCTGCTGGGCTCAGGGAATCCTTCCGCTTCAGCCTTCCAGGTAGCTGGAGTACAGGCAGGCACCACCACGCCCGGTTAATTTTTTGATTTATTATGGAGATGAGGTATTGCCATGTTGCTCAGGCTGATCTCAAACCCCTGGGCTCAAGCAATCCTCTAGCCTCCACCACCCAATGTGTTGGGATTACAGGCGTGAGCCACTGCACCTGGCTGCAGATTGTAATTTTAAAATTGCAGTATAAAATTCTTTTAAACCGAGCTAATAGGGGATATTTACTGCCACACAGTAAAACAGGTTTTCCCACCCCATGATGATAACGTCAAGATGGTTTCGTTCTATCTGCAAGTTTCAGAGTAAGCCTGCTCCAGATGTGTGTATTCAGTTTCTTTGGGTCTAACCTTTTTTTGTAAGATTTAATGGTTACAAAATGACCAAAAGCAATCAAAAGTTTGTATTTCCCTGGGTCTTTTAAATTCTTTCACTGTCCATTTTCTCACATTCATCAGACATTCAGCTCACAGCAACTCAGACCCACAAGTGCTTACTCTAGTCGGGTTGTTTACATCTACTTGGAAGGTCTTTTCAGTTAACCTTTTTCCTGACCCACCCCACAATTTCCTCTGGTTTGTTATTTGACAGACTACCCAAATACTTTACCTAAGTTATTTGCTTCCTTCCTATTGCAAGCTTTTGACTGCTACCATTGGCCTCTTTCAGAGAGCTTACAGCTGCTTTTCTGAGCAAGGTTTTCCTCAGTCTGGACTCTGTGGTACATGGTTTCATTTAACAGCGCTTAGTAAAACCCACTTTTTGAACTGCTGGTTGGGGATGAGGCAGGTATGAACGATAAACTCTGCTGTAGAGGCATAACATAATGAGTTGTGAGCACTTAGAATGACAGGTTTAAAGCTAATAAAACATGTCAAGCAAAGGGCCTTTTAGGACTGCTATAATTAACTGGCAAATAGCATTCATTTCATTGAGTGTGTCACTTGTTTCTGTGAAAAGAGTTGATTCCCTAAAACGGTTTGTATTTCCCTCTGACAGCTTCTCCTTTTGGTCAGTTATGTGCCGCATAACTATGTCTGGTTCAATGACAGCACACATGACAGTGGTTCCAGAAAATTATAGTGGAACTGAAAAATTCCTATCGTCTAGTGCCGTTGTGGCCACTGTCATGTGATGTCCCCGAAGACCTTTTTGTGGAACAGGATATGGAGGTGAAAGACAGTAATATGGATGATCCTGACCTGTGTAGGCTTCAGCTAATGTGTGCATTTGTGCCTTAATTCTTAACCAAAAAAAAGTAAAAAGTAAAAATAAATAAATACAAAATTTAAAAATAGAAAAATGCTTGTAGAATAAGGATACAAAGGAAGAAAATATTTTTGCACAGCTGTACAATGTGTTTGAGTTTAAGCTAAGTAATATTACAAGAGTCCAAAAGTTAAAAAAAAAAAATTTAAAGGCCAGGCGCGGAGGTTCATGCCTATAATCCTAGCACGTTGGGAGGCCAAGATGAGAGGCTTGACTAAGTCTACAGGTTCGAGACCAGCTTGGGCAACATGGCGAGACCTCGTCTTTACAATAAATCAAAGTATTAGTCAGGCATGGTGGCGTGTGCCTGTAGTTCCAACTATTTGGAAGGCTGAAGCAGAATGATCGCCAGAGCCCAGCAGATCAAGGCTTCAGAGACCGGGAGTATGCCACTGCACTCTAGCCTGGGTGACAGAGTGAGACTTGGACTCAAAAAAAACCAAAAAAACAATAGTTTAAAGTGTATAAAGTAAAAACGTTATAGCAGGCTAAGGTTAATTTATTATTGAAGACATCAATGTTTTCAGTAAATTAAGTGCTAGCCTAAGTGTACAGTGTTTATAAAGTCTACAGATGGGCCAGGCTTGGTGGCTCTGCCTGTAATCTCAGAACTTCGGGAGGCCGAGGCAAGTGTATTGCCTAAGCCTGCGGGTTTGAGACCAGCCCGGGCAACTTGGCGAGACCGCATCTTTACAATGAATCAAAAATTAACTGGGTGTGGTAGCGCATGCCTATGGTTCTAGCTACTCGGAAGGCTGAGGCAGAAGGGTCACCTGAGTCCAGTAGGTTGAGTCTGCAGTGGCCATGAGTGTGCCACTGCACTCCAGCCTGGGTAACGGAGTGAGACTCCAACTCAAAAAATAAATAAATAATAAAGTCTACAGGTGTGTACAGCAATGCCCTGGGCCTCTATATTCACTCACCACTCACTCACTGACTCTCCCAAAGCAGCTTCCGGCCCTCAAGCTCCATTCATGCTAAGTGTCCTGTAGGGATGTACCATTTTTTAAAATCTTTTTTTGTTTTTGTTTTTGCTCTGAGCCGGAGTCTCACTCTGTCATTCAGGTTGGAGGGCAGTGGCATGCTCACAGCCACCTCAGCCTCAACCTCCTGGGCCTAGGGGATCCTTCCACCTCAGCCTTCCAAGTAGTTGGAACCACAGTCACGGTGGCTCATGCCTATAATCCCAGCACTTTGGGAGTCTGAGATAAGAGGATTGCCTGAGCCCAGGGGTTCAAGACCAGCCTGGGCAACTTGGTGAGACCTCATCTCTGGAATAAATCAAGAAAAATTAGCTGGGTGTAGTGGCACACGCTTGTAGTTCCAGCTACTTGGAAGGCTGAGGCGGAAGGATTGCCTGAGCCCAGCAGGTCGAGGCTACAGTGGCAGGGAGCATGCCACTGCACTCCAGCCTGGGCGACAAAGTGAAATTCCAGCTCAAAAACAAGCAAACAAATAAATAAATAAATCTTATTTGCATCGCAAGTGCAAAGGCAAAGTTAAAAGATCACAAACTCTAAATTAGCAGATTCTAAAATCAAAGGGCTTGGAGGCACCTTTGACTTGTCCGAGGCAGAGATGAGGTGTATTTTCGTTTTTCCAGGAAACACCAAAGGCTTCCTTCATTTCTTATCCCTATGGCACATCCAAAGTCATCCTTTTATACTTCACCACTCCTTTTGCTAGGCCTTGGTGCTCAGGGCATTACTTAATGTATTTACCCTTTCCTCTCCTGGAAAATTCCTAATGTTTAATGCTACTTTATATCTAAAGTGTACTGGTCTCTCAAGTCAATCACGCTGAAGAATTTCCCAATGTGAAAGTGGCACCAGAAGTGTTTTTAAATTGCCAGACGACCCAGACCTGGGAAAATCACCATTAGTTACCCAAGCCAATGTTCCTAGTACTCAGGTATGAATTTGGTAGATGGTTGGATAATCCGAGATGTAACCTGTGTTGACAGACTCAGGTTCTGTGTCTTGAACTTCCAGGCTAACGGTTACTCATATATTCGAGACTTGATAATAATATAAATATAAATGAATAAAGCCACCTTTGATCTCTATGACAACAGAGTCTGAACATGAGCCAAATGTCAGGAGATGTGGATCTAACCCTGCCCTCATTAATGATAATCTATATTACAGACCGATTCAGTGGAATGATTTTATAGCTTGGCCTTCTGCTCAAAATTAGGTGGGGGTGGACAGATTAATTCCACCATCTGTCATTCCATCAGTAAAGTTTTACTTTTTTAAATTTTTGAAACCTTTTCAGTTTTAATCAATCCTCTACTGAAATGCAAATACCGCTCTTTCTCAGTTACCAGATGAGGCTCAGACGGGCAAACAAGCGCCTACACGCTGGGGGTCCGGAGCCGGGTTTGTCGCAAAACTTATGTGACCCCGCGGAGACCCTCCGAGAAATCCCCACTCGACCAAGAGCTGAAGCTGATCGGCGAGCATGGGCTCCGGAACAAACGAGAGGCCTGGAGGGTCAAGTTTACGCTGGCCACGATCCCCAAGGCCGCCCGGGATCTGCTGGTGGAGGACGAGAAGGACCCGGGGCGTCTGTTTGAAGGCAATGTCCTGCTGCGGCGACTCGCGCAGTGGCGTGCTGGATGAGGGCAAGATGAAGCCGGATTACATCCTGGGCCTGAAGATCGCGGATTTCTTGGAGAGGCGCCTGCGGAGCTAGGTCTTCAAGCCGGCCTTGGCCAAGTCCGCCCATCACGCTCGTGTGCTGATCCGCCAGCGCCGTATCAGGGTCCGCAAACAGGTTGCGAGCATCCCGTCCTTCGTTGTCCCCCTGGATTTCCAGAAGCACATTGACTTCTCCCTCCGCCCTCCATGTGGGGGTGGCCGCCCAGGCCCGTGAAGCGGAAGAACGCCAAGGGCCAGGGTGGGGCCGCAGCTGGAGAGACAAGGAGGGGGATCAAGCCCATCCAGGAGCCCCTCCTGGGCTGGTGGATGGTCTAGATAATAAAAGAGGATCGACACTTTGTAAACCAAAAAAAAAAAAAAGGAAAAAAGAAAGAAAGAAATGCAAATACCCCTTGAAGAGGTTATTCCAATCTTTTATCAGTTGACATAAACAGTTCCTATTTTAGTAGAGATAGGCACAAGCATAACATAGGCCAGAGACAGAAGGGACAATGAGGGAGGAGGACTCCAAAAAAAAAAAAAAAAAAATTGTATTGCCCTTACAGGACCACCTTAAGTCTGCTTGCAGTTACCTGGTTGACTATCTCTGGATTGAGGCCTGCCGGCTTTCTAGACTGCAACGCTCCAGGCTTCTAAAATTGGATGACAAACCATAGCAACATGACGACTTGTGAGCCTTGAATCCAACGTTATGACTTGCGAGCCTTGAATCCAAGGCATGTCTATCTTCTTTCCATGGGTAAATAAACTCACATTTGCTTAAATTTCTACAAGTGTTTAGCTGCTAAGCTGTAATTTTCATCTGAGACTTTTCTTCACAGAAGAGTGCAACACATGGCCCCTGTTTACTTTTTTCTTTTCCCAACAATCAGTAGCATCAAAACTATCTCTGCAATACTAGAAGGCTAGAGGTCTGCATTTTGAAAATAACAAGGGATAGGGATGACCTATTTGAAAGTTTCTTCTTGGCAGTCCAAAATATCTAGCCCCCATCACTAATTGAATTAACAGACAAAATGAACCCCAAATAGCAGAATTGCCGGTACAAAGGAAGGAAGTTATGAATACCAGCTGTGGCTTCGTGACCAGCTGCAGAAACAACCTGACACACACATAATTATAGATAATAACCAACGTTTTGTTAGGTAAAAGCATGTTCGTGATTGCTATTGTTTAGAAATTAAAGTACATGATTAGGTAGAATGATACGTGGGATGTTAACTGGCCAAATGGGTACACTTTGATAGCTTTGGTGAGTCATTTTTAGCGACTATTCCAAACTCCTTATGGAGAGTCTTCTCGTACTGCAGAAGCTAGAAATTTAAAAACCACATTTCTGATTTCCTGACTTCTGAGTTAAGATAGTAGGCTGAATACACACGTCTAACTTTGCTTCCTCCTGAAATGCTACAAAAGGTACAATAAAGAGATTTATTTTTCTATAAGAAGACAAACTCTCAAGCCGGGCTCGGTGGTTCAGCCTGTAATCTCGCGCCTTTGGGAGGCTGAGGTGAGTGGATTGCCCGAGCCCGCGGGTTCGAGACCCGCCTGGGCAGCGAGACCTCATCTCTACAATAAATCAAAAAAAAATTAGCCGGGCGTGGTAGTGCACGCCTGTAATTCTGGCTCCTCAGAAGTCTGAGGCGGAAGGATTGCCGGAGCCCAGCAGGTCGAGGCTGCGGTGGCCAGGAGCGGCCACTGCACTCCAGTCTGGGCGACAGAGTGAGACTCCAACTCAAACAAAACAAAACAAAACAAGAAGACAAACTCTCTAGGGCTGGGAAAACAAGACAATAAGCAAGAACAACAATATTTCAGAAGCTGGATAGTGGCCTTGAGCAAAGCAAAGAAACAAATCAATTTATATTCTCAAAAGTTTTGAGAACAAGTTGTACTAGGCAATACTGGAGCTGTGGTTAAAAGGGCACCATGCTGGGTTTTTTTTTGTTTCTTTGTTTTGAGTCAGAGTCTCACTCTGTGGCCCAGGTGAGAGTGCAGTGGCATGCTGAAGGTCACTGAAGCCTCGACTTGCGGGGCTCAGGCAATCCTTCTAATTCAACCTTCCAAGTAGCTGGAAATACATGCCTGTGCCACCACACCCAGCTAAATTTATTATTTAACATGTCCACTGCCTGAACAATTCTACCTTTAGAAATTTATTCTGGCTAAGAGTGGTGGCTCACACCTATAAACTTTGGGAGGCTGAGGTGGACTGCTTGAACCCATAAGTTCAAGACCAGCCTGGGCAACTTGATGAGACCTCGTCTCTACAATAAATCAAAAAATTAGCAGGGTGTGGTGGCTACTTGGAAGGTGGAGGTGGAAGGATTGCCGGAGCTCAGGAGGTGGAGGCTGTGGTGGCTATGAGTGTGTCACCGCACTGCAACCTGGGCAACAGAGTGAGACTCTGACTTGAAAGAAAGAAAGAAAGGGAAGGAGGGAGGGAGGGAGGGAGGAAAGAAAGAAAGAAAAGAAAGAAAGAAAGAAGGAAGGAAGAAAAGAAAAAAAGAAAAGAGAAAGAAAGATGGAAAGAAAGAAAGAGAAAGAAAGAAAAAGAAAGAAAGAAGGAAGGAAGGAAGGAAGGAAAGAAAGAAAAGAAAGAAAGAAAGAAAGAAATTTCTTCTCTGGATATACCTGTAACAAGGTCATATCCTGCAGCATATCTGTGGTAGCAAAATACTGGAAATTGCTCAAATGTCTACTGAGAGGAGAATGGTAAAATAAGTTATGTAATTCTTACCACAGGATACTTCACAGTCACTTTTAAAATGTAAAAGCTTGAGCCGGGCTTGGTGGCTCAGCCTGTAATCCCAGTGCTTTGGGAGGCTGAGGTGAGTGGATTGCCTGAGCCCATGGGTTCGAGACCTGCCTGGGCAACTTGGCGAGACCTCATCTCTACAATAAATCAAAAACTAGCCGGGCGTGGTAGTGCGCTCCTGTAATTCTGGCTACTTGGAAGGCTGAGGTGGAAGGATCGCCGTAGCCCAGCGGGTCGAGGCTGCGGGGGCCGGGAGCGGCCACTGCACTCCAGTCTGGGCGACAGAGTGAGACTCCAACTCAAAAAATAAATAAATAAATAAATAAATAAATAAAATGTAAAAGCTTGTTATGCAATGATATAAAAGAATATACAAGATATTCTGTGAAAAAGACAAGAGTTAAAAGAAAGTATATAATTTGTTGCAAAAATAGAGAAAAATGTCTCTAACCCCTGTGAATTAAGTTAGATATGTTGTCATTATACTCTATGATTTGCCTAAGTGATTCTTATTACAACGATCGTTAGTGATTATTGGTATTCATAAAAATCTTTTAGGTCAGGCATGGTGGTTCATGCCTGTAATCTCAGCACTTTGGGAGGCTGAGGTGGGAGATCCTATCTCTTAAAAAATTAAAAAATATATATATATTAGGGATGAAATGAGTATATAGTGCATGTGAGAAAGACATGAATTTGAGGGGGATTAGGGTCTGAATACTGTGATGTGAATGCTTATGCTGCTTAAAATCTATATGTTGACATCTTAACCCCCAAGATGATGGTATTAGGAGGTGTTTTGGGGAGGTGATTAAATCATGAAGGCACACCTCTCATTATTAGAATTAGTATCCGTATAAAAGAGACTTCAGACAGCTAGCCGGTCCTTCCCACCATGCAAGGATACAGGAGAAGATATCTGGCTATGAAGGATGGTCTACCTTAGTCTTGGATTTCCCAGCCTCCAGAACTGTGAGAAGTAAATTTCTGTTGTGTTTACCAGCTACCAAGTCTATGGTATTTTGTTATAGCAGCCCAAATGGAGTAAGACACACTCCCATTAGCCTCCCCAGTGATTCTGTAAGCATCTAGTTCCCTGTATTAAATGCTCTTCTGTTTATTTTAATAGGCAGAGTGTTTTGTTTCTTGCACCTGAACTTGACTGACATAATTGATAATATAAAATTTTTAAACAGAGAAACTGCAAACCTTATATACACTGTATGCTACCAAAATTAGTGTTAAGGGACTTAGAAATGGAAAATTATCTATGAGATTCTCTTCTGTGCGTGCTAACTACTGGTACATTAAAAAAAAATACACATCAAAGCATGCCACCATATTTAATTTGATTTTTAAAGTTTATCCATAACATAGAGTGAATGAGTAGGTATTGAGGATTATTTTCAATTAAGTAATATTTTTACTTTCTAAAAAAATTTCAAAAATGAACATGACTGGCAGAGGGCAGTGGCTTACTCTACTCTCTAGGAAATGCCTGATGAGGCTGGGGATGGTGGCTCATGCCCGAAATCCCAGCACTTTGGGAAGCCAAGGTGGGAGGATCACTTGAGGCTAGGAGTTCAAGACTAGCCTAGGCAACACAGTGAGACCTCTGTCTCTTGAAAAAAATTTTAAAGAATGCCTGAAGACATCAGTCAAAAAATATGTCAGTGACAAACAGCCGAATGACTTCAAGTTTCTCTCTCCTTGACTCAGCACCCGGAAATGACTCTCAGAAGGCTAGGAAAGTCATTAAAGCAGCTCCTGCCCATAACAATAACAGGTTCTTGATTTTTCAGTCATGGTGAGGCTGTGGGAAATGATGACAATTCTGAATTCCATCCCTTTTTACATTGTTTGCAATGTGAATTTGACAGTGAGTAAAAGGGAGTGAAGCATGGGAAGCTATAGCTTTTGATACCACCAAGCACACACTAGATATTATATATTTGTTTCTGAGGCAGCTTTTTCTATTTATATTTAATCCAGTGACATTTTTATGTGTGTTTTAGAAGACAAAAATTGATGGATAAGAGGGCAAATGACCGAGAAGTCACAGCTCTCTGAGAATGCAGACACACAAATTTACAATTTTCTGGCAAAGAACAAATAGCTATAAACATCCAAGTCTAAGCTAAGTTTTCAGAGATTTACTCTATATTAATGAGGTCACCATTCAGGGCAGAACAAGACAGAATTGCTTTGACTCGCAGGCCTTTTAAAGACTAGTTGGAACCATCTAATGCTTGACCATATGTGAATTATTCACTTGGCAGGTTACTTGAAATTCAGCCAGCATAACCCCAAGCGACCCGTTCTGACTCAGTTATATTTAGAAAACACCAAATTACTTAAACATTGGACTATGCAAAATTTTATGAGGTGACTATGTCCAAGATCGAAAATATATATATACATACAAGACATTTCTAATAGTAAAAGGAAGTGGTTTTTGGCTCATCCAAAGTTTTTGGAATTAAAATTATGGAGAGCTGGCAAGGCCCTTAAGACTTTTTGTCCAATAGCTTTGTTTTATAGCTGAGAAAAGACATGC